GGTAGTGAGAGTAGTGTAAGCTCCGATAAATCAATCACTTCAGAATCTTCCTTCTTCCCCTCAAGTGGTCTTCGCTCCGGTCTTCTTCTCCGAGTGGTGACTCCTCCCTCCGCTTCCTACACGCTCTACGTCTTTCGAGATCCGTGACCATTATCAGATATTACTCTAAAATTCAAATTCCATCAAGCCAAGGTTATATTTTCGAACCTGAATTCTGGTTTCAACTTGACAACCGAGAAACACCGGTGCATGTGGACCATGGACGCGTGGTGTCCTACATTCTTTCAAGCGCTTGGCACTGCTTTAAGATTTGTTTTTTTTCCACCCAAACACAACCGCACCGGCACTTTCAAGTGGGTGAATAAAAAGAATTCTTAATCAAATGGTGGATTGCACTTTTGCTGAGGTACTAAGGTATCAACCAGCATTTTTGGAGAAGTTATAGTAACTGAAAAGATCGGATCGACTCGTTCACCTACACCAATAAAATCGCCTTTGGATCCCGCAGGGTATCAAAAGATTCATGGATAGCATTGTTGTCTGCGTATTGTGTTATGGAAGGGCGGGAGTGGAATGGTGCAAACTATGAGGAGGAAAAAAGTAACTTCCTGGAAAAACTATCGTCTCCGGAAGCAACAGTTCAAGCAAGCAAAGCCGCCAACGGTAAATGGGACAAGAAGAAACGCCTTGTTCAGAAATTAAAAGCGGTAAAAAAAAAAAAGCTGAAAAGTCTGGAGTAGGCTCATATAGCGAATATATGTTGAAGATAGCTTAAATTTCATATAATTTTACAGAATATCTGCAACCCAAGCTCCAGTTAAGTGCTCTAGTGTTCTCTAAAGCCACACTTGTTATCTATTCGGATTTTTCCAGACATTTGGCAAAGTGATTTACATAGCGAGACAGTTTTATTGTAGAGGCAGCGTCAATTGACATTTCTGATTTTCTGCTTTACTTTTGCCGGACAAAATGCAGCCCTAGTCGTAGTTTTGGGATCTACGCAAACTAAAAACCAGATCCATTATCTTCACCTGTGCGTACACTATTTTTATAGAGCAGTTAACTGTTTAGATTAGTTATTGATAAGTTTTAATTATATTGAGATCGGCAGTGTTCAAAACATTTACCTACGTTCTGCAGCCCTGTTATCAATTTTGAGATCTGTGCGTCGGAAAAGTTATGGAAGTATTGTACTAGTGCTGATCTCCATTGTCTATAGAGCACTTTGTAGCAAACGCCATAGGTTCTATCAGTCTCAGTACGTTTACGGTTTGTACTAGGAACAAAGAATACAAACAATGTGCTCAAGCACTTTTGCAGCCACGTCGTTAAGATTAAAGATCGCTGTTAATGATGTATGTAACGCGCTATACTTGTGTTCTAGTGTGTATTGGATAGAGTGACATTGCTAACAAGTGAGTTTAGAAAGACTTTCATTACTACTTGCAAAAATATGCCTTCTGAGCTACAAGCAAAGGTCTAAACTAGTCCACGCAAAGAGAGTGGGGAACGCGAGATGGCCTTCCTTTTTTTTTCGCTCCAGTCGAGAGTTTAGGCCGCTTAACGCGTCTATCAACAAACCGGCGCTCCGTTTCTGGCCATCCAGCGATCTTCCAGTTGGCGCGCTTCAGAGGTGCCAGCATGCACGCACCAAATCTATAGAATGCTCTGCACCGACACGTCTGCGAGTTGAGGTTTACAGTCCACCCGAGCATAGGCTGTCCGAGTCGCTCCATGCGACGGTTGTTCTGCTCGTCTTCTTCAGCATTCCTGACGTTGTATGGCGTGTCGATCAAACTTGACAATGAAATCCACTTGGACGGTTAGATTCACCTTCCAGTAGAAACTGAACCGTATGTCGCGGCTGAGTAACCACTATTTTCTTTGCCTTCAAGAGTCTTTTTGTTCGAGAAATCAGGGTAGTTGCGGGCTTGGGGTTCGTGGCAAACATAGGGGGAAGAATGAAGCGGTGGTGGCACATAGATACCACCTTTTTGAGCAAAGCACAAAGCTTCGTGCGGACTCATAACGTACAGTCGCGCTTAATAACTTTGTTGAACTGCTCCACAGTGTTGTTCGTTTTTGCAAAGCCAGTTGGCAATCAAAAGCACTACCACTTGCAGAAATGACTTTAAACCAGGTCTTCTTAAAATAATCGGCAAACGTTTCAGCTCTGGAATTGCCCGTCACAAGCCATCGGCACGCTCTTGAATTGACATGAACTCGGTGGCATCTCTAGCGTAGTGCATTTCGTAGATACGTCGATAGACGAGGTACTTCGAGTTCTTGGAGAGGCTTAAAACACGCTTTTTCACGTTTTCAACGACATGGAAGAAGCACATTAAATATTGTAGTTCTGGTTTTTGAGGGCTCCGATGCACACGGAGCGGCCAGGGTTTGTTCAACACCATTTAGTTGGGCGTCTTCAGCGTCTCCCATGCCGTAACGAATCACAAGCGGACGTTCTACGACCACCTTGTAGATATCCATCAGCTTTCAAAGAGCGTGAAAGTGCTGGACGATTGTTCTTTACGAAGTTAAGAAGAATGCCATCGGGTGAAACTGCCGAGCAGCGTCAGAGATACCGCAGACAATGAGTGGGTATCCACACGCTTAAACGTCGCGTCTATATGAAAGTTGGCCTAAACATATGGTTTGGGTATCAAAACACCATGTTGGTGTTTGCCACATCAGACCAGACTCTTTTTCCCTGATTGCAATCGATGGCGCGCACGCGGGTCGAGCCGCCGCGTACTGCCTCGCACGTGCTGTCGTGGTTGCGGCGTGGGCGTCGCGAGGAGCTACCAGTGGATCGTGTGCTAGACACCATCCGCTCAGTTCATGGCGTGGTACCGCTGGGTGGACGTGTGGGCGGCGCAGATGGCGCGACGCCCCCCGCAACACCCAAGGCTTCAGCGCTAACCTTATTTTCGGCTGGAAAAGACGACCAAGCGGCAGATAAAGTACAAAAGGACAAGAGCGACGATAAACTATGGCAGCTGCTTCTCTTAAGTGTCCAATTACCCGCTTCAGGCGGCCAGCAGGAGCTGAGAAATGCGCTCGAGAGCCTCCAGGGCGATAAAAAGACCGAAAACCCACTGGATATCGAAACTCTGAGACGCCAATTTTTCGCCGAAAGAAGAAACTTCTTCGCTGTACGTGTGGAGCTACTGCGTGCGGCTAACAACCCGCAGCATCCGAATGCCGAAGCTGCCGAGGAGGCCGTGGATGAGCTGCTGAAAGAAGGATTACGCGAGGCCCTGCTGGATGAGATCCATGGGAGACAGTTCACCCACCCGCCGAGCTTCACCGGTGTGGGGGCGGCGGAGCGCAAGGCACTTGTGGCCTGGGAGCTGCAGTTCTTGGAAGAGGAGGCGCTGCTACGAGAACTGTTACTACTGACACTCGTGGCGTCAAGGGAGAAGGCCACTTTGGAGAGTGCATTGAAGGTTGCAAAGACTGTATACAACTGGGAAGTGCGAGTCTTTGACGAGGTATTTACAGCCAGTACGTTAGCACTACCTGCGGCACAAGAAACGGCAAGAAGGTTGACACAATTGGGTCTATTGGTGGCTCTGAGACTACTGCATTCTACTGGAACAGTACAGGAGCATGCAGCTCTGCAGCAAGCGACGAAAAGTTTCTTTTTGACTGAATTGTGTGGAGTTCCAGATTCGATGAGTGAGGAGCCCTTGTCGTCGCCTGTTCCGGGTGTGCTGTTGTTGGCGTGGGCTGCATTGTTGGCTCGTCAGTACCGTGAAATTGCTGGGTTTAACCGGGAAACCGATGAAGCGAAGGAGCTGGAAGTTATGTTGCAGCACACGTTAACAGCAGCGGAGCGGCTGCACAGCTTTCACTACTTGAACGCGCTACTGCGCTCGCTGGTGCTCCGCAATGACTACGTGGACTCCGACAGCACGGCATTCTTGTATCCACTGAGTCTCCACGCTAAGAAGTTGTGGACACTGCCCAATGGCGCTGCATCGGTTGGACCACGCGGTGCAAAAGGGGATTCCTCCCAATACCAGATCAACCGAGACAGCGCTCCTGTCTATCAGCACGTGGTGGCGGGATTTTTGAACGACATGTTGACCTCGCTGGGGTACATGGAGAACTTGGATGGCGCTCAACAGCTGCAGGCGATGGTGAAATTCGTGTTGCCTGCTCTTTCGAACGCTCGAGTGGCCCAACAGACTCTCGGCATTGACATGGAAGACAGCAGCATGACGGACATTGTAGCTAGTACAGAAAACGCTGCGCTCCGTGATCTACTGAAGAAAGCTCGGGCCAATCTGCCGCACAGCTTGCTATCGTGTGTTCAAATGTTCACGGCACTTTGCTGTAACTACCAGGACGTGTCGTCTCCAGTTGTGCTACGTCAAGTACTCAAGTATTTCAACAAGCCGCGAGCTGGACTGGAAGGACATGTGATCACTAGAGGTGTTTACCG